CTGAAATGTGGCATGGTGTAGGGCCCTCACATCCTTTAATGTGACCTGTCCAGACAAGTGGTGTTTTTTCTGCTGCTCCATCCACCCCACACAGGCACACTGGAGGAAAAGAAGTCTTTTGGTGAGAAGCTTATAGCGAATAGTAGCTTTTTTGAAGCTGCTAAGTGGTTCAAAATACACTGGTAGTTCTGAACCAGTGATTAGAGAGCAAAAAAGACAATCAAAAGTGAATGTTAAATTGTGGAACCATACAAGAAAGTATTTGATGACTATTGTGTATTTTACTGTAAGATATCATCACTGTATTATGATATATATGCCTGTGTTTGCCCATGCATGCATGCATGCCTGCACAACTGGGACTGACTTTATAAATATCTAAGTGACCCAAATTTGAGGTAATGGTGATATTTGTAATTGGCAAAATTATCCTACTTTACCAACCTAATTTGTGTGAGGCTTCTTGTATGGGATGCCGTTCCTTCCAAATGTACAGTAGAAGCATTATGTGTCTGCAAATGGTAATGCATTTTAGAGAAAATGCATTCCTTTAGAGGGATTACATTACAGTTTAAGTACTGTTTTTTTCTCATAAACTTCCTTCTGTGTCACCCCATCTTTGGACTTGATTCCATGAGGTGCAGAACACTCATGGGAGTGCTAAAGGGAATGACTAGTCTTTGAGACTCTGGTGACTGTTTTGCATCCCGAGATGGCTAAAAAAACCTAATTTACTTGCAATACTTTCTGTTTTTCTAAAGTGTCTTTGCTGCTTGCCCATACTGTATACACATCACTATTGCAACCGGTTCATATTTATTGTAAACACATTCATAAACAAAATATTTGCTTTTCAGTGCTTAAGTATAGCACTGTTCTGAGTTCTGCTATCTGTTCACCTAGAAAATCACTATAAAGACTGGAATCATTACCATATGAATTTGGTTCATTTTTCTCCTGTGTGGACCCATGGCATATTTCTAGCCCTGATGTGAAGTGACATTAGAGAGAGAACTTTCACTGGTCTAGCACCTTGTGAACCTCTGGCCTTCACCTGATTCATGCTCAAGATGGGGACAATGGAATGATTTAATGACAATTGAATATGATGATAATATCAAAGATCATATAATAACTCAGCATCAAATATGGTATGAATAGAAGTGTTTTCAGGTGAGAACAAATTGGCAAGATCAATGAATTTCACCATGAGACTGCATGTTTTAACAAATGCTTGTAGAAAGAACTAAATGCCTATCATACATAGCCGTATGAATAAAGAGTTTGTTTTAGAAAACATCCACTGCCTGCCTTTGGGAGTCATTTTTCAAGTACTTTTGGCAATGAAGTATCCCAGTCATGTGAGAATACATACCTCCACTGGTAAATAGGGTGAATGGATCTATAGTAACCATAATGCAATAAAAGTTCATGTATTTCTCAAGCTTGAACAGAAATAATGCCCTTTGAGATTGTAACAATTACCTAAAGGACATTTTTCACTTAGCACATTTTATAGTGTATAGGTCATCACAGTGTATAAGTCAACCCCCTATTTCGGTAAAAAAAAGGTAGAATTTTTGTATATCTGGTGTTTAGGTCAACCCCGCCTTGGTGTGTGAGGTGCTGGAAGCACGAACAGGCTATGGGAGAGGCAGCGTGCTGGCGGGCATTGCTGCCCGACGCCCCATGCTGCCCTGGGGCAAGCCAGCCCCTTCCTGGGTGGTGCCAGGCGTCCTACCAGCCGCAGGCCCCTGCTGAAGGCACAAGCAGTGAGGACAGCACCTAAGCTGCAAGCAGGGCTTGTTTCTCCCCTCTGCAGCAGCAGCACTCCCTGGGGTCTGCTGTGTAGGCTGCCAGCAGGCCACGCATTGCCCGAGCTCCCAGGGAGGTCCCAGGGGGGTCCCAGTAGCATTGCTTGCAGGGGATGGTGTACAAGTTGAGGTTGAATTTTAAGGGTTAAAAATTTGGCTCAAAAACTCAACTTATACACCATGAAATACAGTAGTCGTAAAGTTCTTTTTATAATGCACAGGTAAGACATTTCTGATTTACTAAACACTCTTCAGCTCTTACTCTTAAGAGTTCAGAAGTATAATTTTTCCCCAGTTGCCAAAATGGGGAGCTGAGTCTGAGTTTTCCTAATCAAAATGTTGCCTTTCTTTCTCCTCCATCCTTCAAAAAGAAGGAAGGGGGGGGGGTCTACATTTCTCAGTGGAAGCAAAAATCTTTCATAAAAAGCTGCATTTGTTCCTTTTGAAGGTGACATTCTGTGGAAGGTGACCATCCAGCCCTATCCAATTATTTGATCAGTGTATTTTACTGCTTCAGTCAATGTTTGGAAGATGGAGGTAGATCTGCATCTTGTGCCTGTGGCCTGTGCCCAACTGTTGAAAGGAGAACCTGTGTTATTCTAAGGCATTCTTTTGAAGGGCAGACAGATGATCAGTTGACGCCGAACCAGGGTGGACCCTGGCCCTCCACACAGGAACCAGGAGACTTGAGCACTGTACTTGCAGCATGAATACCGCGTGCCCCCCCACCCTGAGGCTGGGGCGGGGGGGCATGGTGAGCTCCTGCAGGTGGTGGTGGCGCTGACAGTGGCGGGAGCATGGTGGCAGTAAACGGGGAGCTCCTGCAGGTTGCCCTGGTGCTGTCGGCAGCAGGGGGGAGGTAGCGAGTGCCAACTGACGGGCTTTTGGCAACCACCCGCAGATGTCAGCAGTGGCCAGCAGTGATCATGGACCGACTGTAGATGCCACCAGTGGTGTCAGCAGCGAGGGGTGGGGATGGTGAGTGGCAACTGCCCGCAGGCACCACTGGCAGTGTCAGTGCCACCTTTTCACAGGGGGTGCGCTGCCATTTTCAGGGGGTGCACGTGCAACCCCTACTCATTGCCAATGGCTTGCATGTCTCTTTACCAGCCTGCAGACTCTTCTTAAAGGGCTGCCTGGTTTGGCACCCATTAGCCTTTCCCAACCCGCTTCCTTCAAAGCGTCCAGTGCTGCACTTTCCCCCTGCCCCTTTAAACCTGCAAGCGCCCCCCCCCCAGCACTCCCTGCCCCTGGCCCTCTCTACCTAGGGCTTCCTTCCTTCATTCCTCCCCCTTTCCTATGCGCTGTTTTCTGAAATCCCTGCTACTCCTCAGCCCATTTCCCAGGGCTCTTCATGCCCCTCATTTCTCCTCTCAGCGGTGCTCCCTGGGGCCCCCCCGCGCTCTTGCCCGCGGTGACGCGGGAGCCGGGCCCCAGGGCCCCGCCGAGCGGCTGGCCGGTCGCCCCCAGGCAACGGGCCGGGCATCGCTGCCCCGCTCGCGCTCCCGTGGGCGTGCGTCCCATGCACCCACGCCGGTGTAGCTGCACGATTAAACGAGGCCTCTGTTTAAAACGAGCCTTCTCCCGGCGGTCCCAGGCGGCTGCTGGCAGATTGAAGTGCGCGCATTCGGGGCGGCCTCTCACCCGGCCACGGGCATCAGCGCGCGGAGCGCGAGGTGCCCGCCGTGGGGCTCCTGGCGCGGGATGACTAAACGTTTACTCAGGGGAGAGCCGAGGCTTTCTGCTCCTCAGCCGCGGTTCACGTCTCTCTGTGCAGCACGCGCCCTTGCCCCCCCTTCCCTGCAGCGAATGAAACACTTCTTTTGTTAATTGAGGAATCAAAGCGGTCCTGCCCCATGCCCGTCCCCGTGCCAGCCGGGCGAGGCGAGGACGTGTGCCCACCCCGGATCCGTTCAGTGAAGCAGCACAGATCCGCGGGGCCAAGTGGGTATTGAGCTGAGGAGGAGGTGTAAAGGGAGCTCCAAGCAGCGGGCAGATTTGCAAGGAATGATTTAAGTCCTCGCTCTCCTTTTTTTTTTTTTTTTTTCCCCTTTTCTCCTCTCTCTCTTCTGCTCGGGATTTAAATGTCACTCAAAACATCCCCAAATCAGCTCCCTGCTCGTCTCTGCTTGCTCCTGAAGCGTTAATTCGAGCAAACCCTGCGTTTCAGCAGCTCTGGTGCTTTGCCCACAAAGGTAAGGCGGGTCGGCGAGCGGAGCTGCACCGGGTCTGGCGGAGCCCGAAGCCCCGGGCTGCTCGGCGGGGTCTTTTCTCGCCCCTCCCCTC